TGCGGTTGTATTTTCCCTATTTCTTGCTAATGAAATCGTAGATGCCAACTGGTAAAAATATGTTCTGCGATGCTCAAATTTTTTGGATAAAATTTATTGGATAATTCTAGTCCAAATTAAATATGGCTCATCGGAGAATTACCTTACAAAATAATAGAAGGTATTTGTCTATTTTCTAGTAAAGTAATCACATTTGGTTTTGAATCCCAATAAGAGAAGAAAGTGGCTGCCTTACTAATAGAAAATATAGGCTTATATAACTTTTTATTCTTCCCCATTTTTTGTAAAGTTCATTTGAGGTATTTCATAAAAAAAATGTAAAATCCATTTTCTGAACGATTTTCTCAAATTTTTTTCTTAATCTTAATCGGAATTAAAAAAAAATGTCTTCAGATGAATATTGATTAGATCTTTACAAACACATATTATTTATTTCGCTAAAAATATAAAATACCCATAGTAATAAGTATGATAGAACAAAAAGATTGTTTTACTTTATTTTTTATTGATTAGAGAAATACACAATTACACAACTAGTTACGTACATTTCTCTTACACTACCACAAAATGATCTCCAAAAACGATTTTAAATTAATATTTGTAGTGACTGAATAACACGCAAATCAAAATTAAGCTTCAAACATTTATTTCATAAGAATGTGAGTATCTATTTTAATTTAGCACTCTAAAATAATGAATAGATAATCAAATAAGACTTCGGCTGTATCATAGATGGGAAACTCAGTGGTAAAATTCTGAGGCTATGTGCTGCCATCTATCAAATTGCAGTGGTACTAAATTCAATATGGCCGCTAGGAACGCTTTTTTGAAATATAGCTTCCTATGTAATGAAGAAAATCAAATAAAAAAATAAATTGGTTTATTTTGACTAGGTTCAAATCATAAAGCAATCCTATTGACTTTATGGTTTTATAGTTTTAGTTTTTGTTAAAATAAAATGAACAATATGTACAGTTAAAATATTAAATTCCTGAATAATTCGAAGATGAGTAGAGAGCTTATGTATTTATAGAAAATAAGAAGTTTAATTGGAGTCCAGCTCTTGCTAACGATAATTACTTTTCAAAAATGCTGAACCTTATAATTAAATCGTTAGAACGTTGATCGTTATATCATTTATAACAAACGCAGTGTTTTTTAAAACCCCGTAATTAAAAAATCTGCCATGGAATATAGTTTAATTGGCCTAAAAGCTAAACAAACGTTCTAACAGAGAGATGAATGTATGCAGGTGCAGAGGCAGGTTATGATGTTATGAATGTTTTCCTGTTATTCCATTTATACTTTTTCTTAGGAAGGAATTCTTGATTGCCGAGCCACTTGTTCTTAAAAAGTCATTTGAGTTTTTTTCTTATTTCTGTAGCTGTTAACATATATGCTAATAACGTATGATTTATTATAACAAACCGTGTTTCGCAGAATACTTTTCGAAGAAACAAACGTAATGGTAAAAGAAATGAGTATAATACAGGGTTATTCAGAGTGGCGGTTCACCATTATTGAAAATCAATTGATACTGAAATAAAACAATGTAAAATATTAGTAAAATATTAATTAAAAATTTAAATATTAGTTAATTATGAAATACACCTGTGTTTTCTTAGTCAATTTTTTCTCACACCAGTTTCTTTAACGTTTATACTGTATACTTTAGTATGAAAAGTATACTTTTTTATTTTACTTACCAATCGGAAATGTGTGGAGGGTGGATTACACCACGGTACTTAGACCTCACTAGGCCCATTGTGCAACCTCCCAAGTTATGGGCCCTAGCTCGTCAGCTCGTCAGCAAGCCTACAGATTTGATGTAGTTAACAACGTCGCCAGTAAGTGCTTCTTTTATATCGTCCAGTGTTATATAGCAAATACTCGCTGAACACAAATTTTCTAATAAATGAGAGCGCCAAGCAGTCATAGAAGATATGCCTCATCTTCTTATTCTCAACCCCTGCAGAGTGCGGATTATAACACCCCCATGCTATGGAGATCCTTCCGTACTAAGCAATGACTAGTCATAGTATTTTTGTTTGCTGTGGTGTTGTCGGAAAAACTTAAAAGCTCTCTGACTCTGCAGCTTCTTATTTCATCTTGGAAGGGCTAGGTCCAAAAATTATTTGAGGATCAGCAAGAGGGCTATCTTTCGATGCAGCATGATCTTTGATCCATCTTAAGGTGACCACATTGTTGATGGATACTTTGACCAAAGTTTCCTGACATTCTAGTACTAACCCTGAGAAAATTCATGGTCTGTTTGGGAGTGAGTAGTGCTTATCTGCCATTTATATAGATGACCATGTGGTATTGTTTCTGTTAACTTTTTTGCTGCTATGAGAATCCTCATGAGCTCGGTATGAACTACAATAGCATTATTATTGCTCACAATCAATTTTATGGTTTGGTTTAAAGATATGTAGTTTAGAACCGTCGGTATGGATATGAATCGTACCTACACTTTTGGCTCTTCTATTTGTTCTGTTATAACTTTATATAGCTTATGGAAAATATATCTCGGTTCGATGGAGTTTAAGGTCACTTAAAGCAGTAGAAGCGTATTGAGCACCACTCGCCAAAAACGACGTTTCGCATCACCACATCCTACACTTCAACGTGCCGACTCGTGGCATTGTCATCAGAGCAACCTCCTTGATGTAAATATTAAGAGGAGTGAGACTAAGAATGACTTGAATGGCTCTGGTTTGTATAGTTTTTATGGTTTCTGTTACGTTCTCAGACAACACAAAAATATTGCATGAATATTCAATGCATATCTTAATTGCATACTTAATTTACTGTCTGCATAACCAGTAAGATTAGAAGATATATTTACTTCCCCAAAATAGGTCATATTAACTAAAAAATTCTTTTAGGCGAATCGGTAGTAAAATAACGTTTATTGTACTCCTTTTACTTTTATAGGTCTATTCTTGTTTCCGAGGAGACATATGATCTATAGTCAGAGATATCGTTGTCCATTTCAGCTAGGCCAATACCATATTAGTCATGATATTTATAATAAATAGCCCGTGAAGCTCCATGATCAACTGGCCGACCCTCGAAGGCCAGAAACCTTTTTACACTTGTATTCGTGTATCCCTGATGACAGACGGATTATTGGTCATTTAGATAAGCGAGAAAATAACTTAAGGGACGATAAAATAGCCCGTTCTCTTAATCTACCATCGACCAGCAAGCGATTTCGTTGTTAGACGGACAGTAGGAGGAGTCAACGGGTCTAGCGAGTTATTTGTATCATCTTGTGATTCTGTTATAATCTGATAGAACTTATCACAGGAGAAGTTGCTGGATTTACATGCTGAGATAACATGTTTGTCAGAAGAGATGGTCACTACTGTACAGCCAAAAGTTTTACTATAGGAATAATACAAATCAGAAGGGGTTTGTGATTATTTTTTCTCGGTTGCGGAGGATACCTACGTTAGAGTCAAAGTCTTTCGGAAAGTTGAAGTCGTTGGGGAAGGTAAAGCCTTTAGAGGAGTCGAAGCGTTTGGGGGAGTCAAAGCCTTTGAAAGAATTCGGTTGACCATTGAACTGAGACAGCAGCCGGCCAGATATTGTTTTTTAATAATTTATTAGCGGAGTTTCTTGACTACAGTCCTATTTTAGATGTTGCTTCCTTAGATTCATTGTTTTTATTGATCAAGGGGTAGTAACAAATAAACTCACTGAAACATAATTTTTGCTTGATATGATGTACAATGCGATTTGGAGTAGATTCCAAAAGGAGATTGTTAATTACTACGTAATGCCACTTTGGATTAGTTTTGGGATCTTCTGAGGTATGAATGTTTCAACAGTTGATATAGTTTGTGTCGAAGACATTGTGTTGTATATAGAGTGCAATGCTTATTTGTAATATTTTCAAATACAAGCACTTTCAGCCATGTGCACTCTTCGATAATTAATCAGACATATAAAGTTGGATACATGTTAATATTCTATGCTTTGCCTCTTCATTGGTCAAAACGATCTTTGGCGGATTTTTTAGAACTATGCTCATTTTAGATACATATTTTCCTTTTCTTTTATAGGGGATTTGACCAAAGTTGACTAGCTCGCTCCGTGAATATGAGTATAATATTAATCTGTCAAATGATATCTGACAATGAGTTAGGTATAAGTTGATGTTGAAATATACTGTGCTATCCTGTTAATGGTCAAAGAGGTACATAATTTACTAACGACCTCTGGGGCCCCATTTTCTAAGTTGAACGATGTGAACATTCCACTCTCGGTCATCGTATTCGGTATTCTTAAATCATTCACATCTCATAGGTTCACGGAGCACTGCTGCCAAATTTAAGTTGTGCGTTAGAACTATTTGAAAAGGCACTTTACTTCAATTTTTTATTATTTTTTGACAATTGTAATAACAAATTATATTTTCCATTATTTTCTATTAAATCCCGTGCCAAAGGTTTACTTAGACGCACATTTTGTATGAATATTCAGTCACTAAAGTCAAAAAGATCCTCTTTTCTTAAAAAAAATTATATTTGGTCGATTGGCATCTTCTTCTGCTTCAGCTAGATCATTCAAAATATGAATATAAATAAGAGCTTCGTCCAAATCCATTTTAATTAAAAAAAGTGACATTTTGATAGCACACGACAATGACAGTTCTCCCAATTTTCTCCCGAAATGATGCTCTTCTACTGGTTTTGACTAAGAGAAGTATGTTCTCTCGATTTTCATGCGATGTGATCATTCACCTCAATTCAAGAATACCACTCACACACTTTTTAAGAGAACGACTGTCCAGTTCGCATGAAATGATCATTCTCTCAACTGGAGAATAGCCTCCCTGGTGGATTGTGCCTATATAACTATGTCCATTTGTTTTGTTTTTGTATGGGATTTAAAGAAAGAATAAGGTTATCCAAATCTTCAACGAGCTTTATACTTTTCTCTGAAGGGACTGTGACTTAACAAAATCCAGAATAGATTTATAACAGTTTATTGTCTACGTTTATAGTTGCTAAATAAATACTATACATATCAATACATCAACAATTATACATTTTGGTCTAAATCACTTTTTTCGCTAATGTCTTACAAATTTTAAAAATCTATAAAATATATGAATTTATTACTTTAGAACCACATCATCAAGCACTAATTTTAATCTCAATAAGTAACTTTTTATATAGGTATAGTTTTCAAAAATATGCGTTGCACATACGGATTATCTAAATAACCACTGTAAAAAGATACTAGGTAGGTACTAATATTTACTTATCATCTAGAATCATTACTTTTAGATAGATAAATTTTTGATAATGATTTATTTCCCACTGGAATACAGCTATAAAATATTTTTCTGCAATTCACACTGATTTACGCTGGTGGATAATTAACTTACCTTCTTTTTCTTTTGATTATTTAGTTTACAATAAAATTATATTTCTTAATCTGATATGCTTAAATTATTGCGCAAATCATTTTTAAGAAAACTGCAGTACCTAAGTAAGTAGGTGCATACAAATAATATCGCTATTATACTTTGTTTTTAAACTGAAAGCAGAAGCAACGTTTTATTTTACGATAAGTACGTTAGTTTTTTATTTATTTTTATTACTATTATTTTTTAGGTGGAACTAGTTCGAATTTCCAAACTCGGTTTGGTCCTATCTCGACTACGTAGATTGCTGAACCGTTCGGACATACAGCTATGTCGTGTGGATTTCCAAAGCCCTAGAAAAAAAAATTAAATATAGGCAATCGGTTGTAATTGATTTTGTTGAGAGAACTGAGAGTAGATGGATGGCTAACTTTTATTCGTCCGGTCTAAAACACCTTATTTTTAGTATGATAGAAACATATTTTTCTGAAAAGAGCTCGCCTTTTCCTTAATTGTAAAGCTATCTACACGAAAAAAAAAACTATTATAAATTGCATTTATTCAGATATAACGTGGCTTTTTAAGTTTCAAACGACTATCCGTTCAGCTGACAAAACATGCCACTCTTCAGAATGCTCTAGAGCAGAGGTTCCCAAACTCTTTTGTTTCATAGACCACTTTCAAAATTTTGCTGGATCACTACCAATTTCTAAATTTTGAAAAAAAGTGAAGATTAGATCTATCTAGAGAAACTTGCGTTGTGGCTGAGTTTTAACGACGAATTAACAGTTTTCGAAAATTGATTACTTAATAGGGTTAATTATTTGATAATAAAGTCGACTAAACAAATTTTCAATTAAATTTTAATTGATTGTGCTGTGAGTGGATGTCAAAAAAGCAAAGTTGGCCAAACGAAAAAGTGACTCCATCCATCTTTACTTTTTTGAAATATACAGTGACTCACAGCACAAGAACCAATCAATTCTCACAAATTTTATTTAGAAAACGTCCCATTCGGAGTGGTAAAAAGAAATATAGTATATTTCCTTGTGTTGTAGGTATTTATTTAAATTTAAATATATAAATTATTACACTATTAATTATTATTGTTATAACCGTCGTAATATAATTAAAATTAAACACTTATAACGTAATGTAATTTCTACAATGGTAATTACAAAAAAAATTTGTAATTTTAATGAGAGGGATGTACTTGATGGATTGACAGCAAATTATCAATATTTGGCTTGAGTTTTGTAAGGAATAACCGTAAATCTCCCCTTTCTGTGATATTCAATATGCTCCTTTTTTTTGTTAATAAGTTTGTAACGGCACTAAAACTTTTTTCGACGAGATATGACGAGGGAAACGCTATCAGAAGCTTTTGCACAATTCCCCACAGTCCAGGATATTTTTCGGGTATTTCTGCCTGCAGCCAAAATTTTTGATACCCTCTTTTAAATGTCAGTTTCAGCTCCTCATTAGTGCTCCTCTTGTAATATCACATTCTCCACTTCCGTTTCATCAAATGGATTTATGATTCATGGTGGTATTTCCATCGACAGAATATCTTCAAATCTGAATTTAAAATCATCATACAAGGCAATCAAATGTTGAACGTATGTCTGAATATCTTCATCAAAGCATTCTACCTGCGACAAGTTTGAAAACTGTGAAATTTTGCGCCGACCAATATTTTCCTTCATAAATTTCAATTTACCAAGAGAAGCTGAAATTATACTTTTTGTTTTTATTAAATTGAGGCTGTCCCCTTGTAATTGTAAGTTGAGGTCATTAAATTTTTTAAACAAACCTGTCAAATACGCGATGTCTGCTTTTGATCAAGTTTTTTTTTAAATCACGATCTTTACTTTCCAAAAACTCTAAAACTGAGTCAATCGTTCGAAAATTTGCCGGTATAGAATAAAGAAATAGTATCGTTCCTGATATTATCCATATCGTCATCTACTAGCACAAAGTCCACCCTTTCTGTTTCTTCCTCTGAACTAGATTTTTCTACAACAATGACTTTATGTTTCTTCTTTGCCTTTGCTGTTTTAAGTCCCTCTTATGCAAATACCCGTTGCTGGTCTTTTATTTTTTTATTTGCTTTCTTTGTTTCACCTTCTGTTTCTTTCTTTAAACTAGATTTTTTGGCTTCAAAAATTTTTTATTTCTTCGTTTTAGGTTCCACTTCTGCAAAAACATGTTTTTTGCTTTTTCGTTTTCATACTATTTCTTTGTGGTTTTGCTTAGCGATTCCTCAAGTTCATTTTTATAAGGTGACGATGTAATTATTTGTTATGTTGAGGATTTGCGACCACGAATGAAATTTCGTGCTTTTACAACAGGAATAGATGATTTATCAGATGGAGCAACAAAATATTTTTTGAATTGACGCAGGATCTATAGAAAAACCTGTTTGTGGCTAATTAAAATTTTTTTAAAGCGCTTTTTTGGGTTTCTGGTTCCAGCTCACAATTAAAAGAATTGTTGAAGTTACTGGCTGTTTCAGTTGAATCCGTTTTATCTATAGTATCGTTGCAGCGTTTTTTTGCATCATTTCTTCCTTGAATAATATCGACTTTCAAAAAAACGTTTCAAATCAGAGGCCTGATGCTCTAAAGCCACTCATTGCTATATAGGCAGTTTGACATTTAACAATTATTGCCTTACCTAATAATTCTGCTAAATTAAACTGACTTAAAAGGCGATTATTGATTCTGTTCCATTGTCTGATTTCTTCGCTATAAGAATGTTTTGTCGAGCGGCTGTAATTTGTGTGTTGAGATAGGGTGGAAGTGATATAATTAACACGTTCTTTTGCCTGGATATCCTAATAACATCGAGAATACGAGTGTGGCTGTAATGTTCATCTAACAGAAGCAAAACTGGGTCATTCTCTGTTGGTTTTGTAAATTAACTAAAATGGTTGTTGAATCATTATGTAAACAGATTTTGTTACACCAAGCTACTGGGGTGTAAAGCATGGGTGGTGCACTACGTATGAGCGACCTGGTAATTTTTGTTCTTGCGGGGTTATATTAACAAAGGTGGGACCAAAGATATCGGATATGATGTCTATGGCAATACGATGTCTATGGGTGAGACGTACTGACCCCCCTGTACTGGTAGCTACAATCATGGTTACGAGGGAACCACGCTAAGCTGATGTAATTGCAGCACTCTGACGTTTCACTTTCCTACAGGCAACTTTGGGAATTTTACTTGGCACCATAAAGAGGACGGTTTTATCGACATTATACAGGGTGTTCCATCTCAGACGAGCCACCCCGTATATTTCTGATCCCATAGTAATTGGAAAAATTTCCCGAAACACGTCAGATGATTTTCTTTGGGGGACATCTTTTGACGTAAATTTAAGGCTTGTACGATCAACCCCCTATGAGGGGGCTCTCCAACCCCTCAACATTGAACAGGGAAGAGAGGTTGAGTGATACTTCATTTGGAAGGTCTTGGAAGCCTCTTTACAACGGTGTATGAACAAAATCACATTCTTAAAAAAATTAATTGTTTTATCATGCTTACAATCAAAAAAATCAAAACTGCGTTTTTAAATCAAATGTTCAAATTGTCTTCCATTGACTTCCATACAATAATACAATCTTGACTGAAAACCGTCTCTAATTTGGTCCAGCCTAATTGGAGTTTTTTTGACGACACTCATTTACAATTCGTAGGCGTAGTTCGTCCAAATTTTCAAGCTGAGTCACAAAAGTCTTGGACTTAAGATATCTCCACAAGAAGAAGTCCAGAGGGTTTAGGTCAAGAGAGCGAGCCTGTTGTTGTCAACCTTTTTATTATTAAATTTTTAAGCCCTGGCAAATGAGGTTCCAGTTGGTTTCCGTACAGATAACGAATTCGAATATCGCCGCAAGAACGCCTCCAACCAACTTGTCCAGCTATGGCGTTCTTAAATGGATGACATATTATTTTGGACTGCTAATAAGTATGATATGCGACACAAATCATTTCCCGTCAAACAGTCCATCTCTAATATATAGCGCATAAGTTCTTTTTCAACGTCTACTCCTGATACAATTTTTCTTCTGAGAGAAGTATTGGCAAAATCGATAAGGGGAAAATCAGTATTTTTAGAGTGTTTACCAGTCTTTGTAAAGTTGATTGTAAAACATAAAAGTTTTTAGCAGTATTCTTGCTTCCCATTTCTCCGATAAATGCAGTCATAGTCTGTTCCAAGTTCTGTTTTCTACAGGTTTTTCTTACGTTTTTGAACACTTATTTTCTGTTTGGATGATCCAGGCGGTTTTACCTTTAAAAAAAGCTAATTAAAGTAACGTGACCTTAATATGGGCACTGGCCCATATTTAAAATCCGTGAAGGGGCCCATATTTCAAGAAATCAATTAGAATTCTAAAATGTATGAGTATCGCAATCGGACCGCACAAAAAAAAAGTAGAAATCAAAAAATTATACTTGTAAACTTTACCATAAATTATTTTTCGAAATCGGTAAAAATACCTACACACAAACATAATTATTTCTACCTGAGAGCTACTAAACAGTAGGTGCTAAAAATTTTAATCTAAGAAATCAGTATCCACTTTGTGCTACTCAGAAATAGATTCGGAGTAGTTCCTCTAACAACTTACCTTCTTGTGCTAACTTTAGATTTGTCTAACTAGAATTTTAGACTAATGTATTGTACTTTAAAAAAAAAATTAACTTTTTATGTACATATATCGTGTCAAAGTATCGTTCTCGTTACGTTGACGACGATCTTAAATACAATTTTACCAAAACGATATATTGTTTAAAGCTTTTTTAACGAGCATTCTAACCTTTAAAAGCCATCTACCCGTTCCGCCTCTCAACACTAGTTGATTAAGCAATAATACATTCCCCTTTGCAAGGCAAAAAGTAAAGAAAAAGAAGAAGAAAAAGTAAAAAATGTATTTGTTCGGCATTGATTACCTCCTCGGGCGCCCAATGATCGATGACCGACTCCGTCTGTGGGTCGATGGTCAAGCCCTGGACGGTAAGCATGGACGTTGGGCCGTTTACGGCGTAAATGAGCTTGCCTGAAACAGATACAGGGTGATTTTAGTTATCTATAGATCAACAAGTTTGTTATAAATAAATAATTGGTTATAATGACTGAAACACAATGAAGAATTTGGTTTTTTTTGTTTCAGACATTTATATATCTGAAACTAAATTTTATACATAATTATTATAGGTTTAATTAATATTTTTTTGGTAAACCATACCCTACTTAAAGAAACCAAAAGAGGTTAAAGGTTAATTTACCTATTTATAAAAAATATTGCTTTGTAAGCTCTTCAGTGCTTAATGTCAAACAAAAGACATCCAATAATATCGATTATCATCGTTTGTCCAATAATAATAAAATATTGTTACGCAGGTTTTTGGTATCACAATTTATTTCAACTTAACTTTTACAATAACAATCCAACTGATAACATTAACATGTAACCTTCGAGCATATCGAAGCTATCATCAAACTGAAAACTGACGAACCTTCTCGAAATGCATAGAATTTTCTTGACAAATAATGACGTTTCCCGACATTTCTGGAATATTCTATCTTCTTTTACTTGTACTTTTACTTGTACTTTTACTTATGACGATTGCAGCACACTGTAGGGCGATGAATAACATTCCACTTCTTTTTCTATCTGTACATTTCCTATAATAGCCGCAGGATACTGCAAGGTGCTGCGTAACTGTGACCTGGTTGGAGCCAACGGGGAAGATCTGGACCACGATATGGCGCTAACTTTTTAACGTGAACTATCTTGGGTTTACTTCCCGCTGACAATTGAATGCGGCAGAACAGGTCGTTGATTTTCCTTGAGGACGGAGTAGGGGCCTTCCCAGTTCCGTTGCGATTTCTGACAAAGTTTTCCTCGCTGCTTGGGATTGCACAGCCATACCTTGTCGCCCCTCTCAAAATGTGTATCTGTGGCACGCCTGTCGATTCTATCTTCTACTTGGGGGTACTTCCGGTGCAATAGGCCATCGTGAAGATACAGTGAATCCCACTGGGCCCAGTAGCCTTTTATAATTCTACTGTATTTGGCTATCTCTTGCCAAGTAGGTGTAACTTTATTTTTGAGCTATTCTCGGATACAATTTAAGTCATTGTCTTTCTTCTGTCCCTGTCTCAGACTTTCAAGGGTGATTTCTTCTTCGTCGCCCTCTGGCTTGATAGTGGTTGCCCGAAGAGTAACTTTATCAACCGTCTCTTCTCGTTTTTCGAGCCTTTTACCATACCAGCATTGTTCCTCTAAACGGGGTTGCCCGAAGAGAATATCTCCGTTGTTGTGGAGACCTCTTCGATGCTCTACTTTCTGGTTATTGTTAGAAAGCTGGCTCGGTATGGGTGATTGGCTTCTTCGGGGCACATAGCTGCTGTAATTAATTCTTGTTGGTCTTATGATTTTCCGGTCTCTTTCGCTGATTCTCGATTTATGGAATGAGCTATGCTTCTACAGGTTCTTTGAAGATGCCCGATTCTCCCGCAACTGAAGCATCTCCTGCTTTCATTTTGGCTGTTTCGTTGCATATTTCGTAGGATATTTAATATTTGGGGAATAGCATTAGTATTGGCCTCCTCACTTTCCTGGGATTTAATTTCCCTCACTTTTGCGCGAGAATATCTGGATATGAGTTTTACCGCTATATATTCCTAGACGTAGGACTTGCTGCATTTTCGCATCTTGTAATCCATCAATAAATGCCTCTATTCTGATTTGTTCTTGGAAATCTTTGAGCGCCTGTGGATAGGCCAGATGAATCAATCTTCTTATGTCGGCCCCGAATTCCTGTAGACTCTCATTATGTTTCTGACTACGAATTTTTAGCTGGCTTTAAAATACCCGTTTCAAATGCTGCTGGCCATATCTTGTCTCCAAAGCTTGGACGAGAGATGAATAACTGGGTTCTTCTTGAGGAAGTAACTGTAACACGGTTGATGCTTATCCTCGCAGCGACACTATCAATGCAGCTGCCATCTCCGTTTCAGCCCAGCTATTTGCTCTAGCTGCAGCTTCAAATTGGAGGCGATATGTTTCCCATGTTGTCTGCCCGTCAAACGTGGGTGGCTTAATTATCTTGCTAGTATGGTTTTGTGAAATTGGGTGTTGAATATGGCTTGGTTGGATTACAGATGAGGACGAGGCAGTGTTTTCAGCTTCTGTTGCTTATCGAAGCTAGGCTACGAATTCTTCTTTCTAACTCAACTAGTTCAGTTCTAATTTGCCTTTCGAACTTTACTCTAGCCTTTTCCTGTTGTTTTAAATTATCTCGTTGTTGTTTTAAATTAGTTTTTAAATGCTCTTGCTGCTGTTCTTAATTAGTTTTTAAATGCTCTTGTTGTTGTTCTAAAAGATCTACTCTAATTTTGAGCTGACCAATCTCTTTCTTAAAGGTTTGCTGGATTTTTAGCAAAGCATTCATAATTTCTACCTGAGCTTTTTCATGCCTCTCTTTCTTCTCTTTTTCCTCGTCCTTCCTGCGTCTTTTCTTTTCCTCCTCTTCCTCCTTCCTGCGTCTTTCCTTCTCCTCTTCTCGCCTTTTCTTTTCCTTCTCTTCTTCCTTTCTACGCCTTTTCTTTTCCTCCTCTCCTTCCTTCCTATGCCTTTTCATTTCCTCTTCTCGCCTTACTCTCTCCTCCTCTTCTTCCTTCCTACGCCTTTCCTTTTCTTTTTCTTTTTCCTTCCCACGCCGTTTCTTTTCCTCCTCTTCTTCCTTCCTACGCCTTTAGTTTTCCTCTTCTCTCCTTACTCTCTCCTCTTCCATCTTCAAAAACCATGCTGGAGGGCCTGAAGTATCCATGCCTGCTTCGTACTAGTGGATTTAGTATTTACCATGAACTTCTACTTTGTATCCCACCGGTATCACCAATGTTACGCAGGTTTTTGGTATCACAATTTATTTCAACTCAACTTTTAAAATAACAATGCAACTGATAACATTAACATGTAACGTCTATCATCAAACTGAAAACTGACGTCAGGATCATCGGCTTATATAGCTTCGCGAACCTTCTCGAAATGCCTAGAATTTTCTTGACAAATAATGACGTTTTTCGACATTTCTGGAATATTCTATCTTCTCCTACTTGTACCTACTTTTACTTATGACGACCGCAGTACACTGTAGGGCGATGAGTAACATTCCACTTCTTTTTCTATCTGTACGTTTCCTATAATAGCCGCAGGCTACTGCAGGGTGCTGCATAACAATATTGAAGAATAGCAACTCGCTAAGTCAACATTTTTTTTTACAGGTCGCATATGTCATATCAGTGTCAACAGGTGTCGTCATCACCTGGCCTCGATGAGTAAGTAAATGGCTAAATAAAATTTGTGAAAAGTTAAAATTTTATATAAATAAACGTATATAATATACTTTATTATATTAACATAATTACATTTATCTAATTAATTGGTTTCATTACTGAAAAAGTACAGCAAACCTATGAGGTATTATGTAATACAAATATTATAAAACCACATGTAAGAGTATAAGGAATATAACTAAAAATAAATAAGCCTAACAATATAATTACAAATTTAACTCAATAACAACTAGCTTGAAGCTCTGAAATAAAAGGGTTATCAACACTTTTTGATTAGTGTTCTATTAAATTAGCTATTTCGTATCTTGGCGGTTCTTTTAAGAATTATTTCAGAAAATATTTGAATCTAGAAAACGTTTTTTTGCTGTTTAACTTCCCCTGATAAAAAATTCAAATATCTTTAGCTCTAAATAAAATCTCGCTTCCAATGGCTTTATATACAGAATGTTAATATTCGACCGACAACGCTCTAGTCAAACAGGCTATCGTTAATTGATGAATTTTGATAAACATAAATTCTTAAAGGGCTTAGTTACTGAGATACAGGGTGTTTTAAGTGAAAATTTGCAATAAATCAAAGACGTCCTTATATATTTTTTTGTATATTGCATTTTTGAATTTGAATTAATCATAATTATAAATTTCTAATTTTGACATATAAAGTGACATCTTTTGTGATCGCAGCAAGTGACAAAACGATCTACTTTATGCATCATCATGAACCTGGTTATGAAAAATTGATTATGTTATCAGTGCGAGATGAAAAGAAATAAAAATAAACCTTTTTTGGTTTTAAAATCAATTTGAAAGTTTATATGTAAGGAATAAAGGTTGGCTTTATAAAAATCGTTTTTTAATGAATTTACAACCTAGTTATAATTTTTTTTTGGTTCCTGTTGTCCATCCTAAATCTGCACATAATTATCGAAAACACTGATCCACTCTCATTCAATGTCTATACGACAAAATAACTTACTTTTTTTGTGAGTAGTTGACTTGAGAAAAATTATTTATCATTTTCTAAATAATAAATAAAATGCCAAGATGCCTATGTAAGTTATTAGTTATGCAACCAACAACACAAATATTGGTTGCATAGATCAACAATAATTATAATTCTTTAAGTGAGCGAAAACATACATAACTAATCATTGATTTTTTAATTACTTATGTTCATTCAAATAAATCATATAAAATACCACATGGAAGTACAAAAAATTAATGTTTAGTAATTTTTTACCACACACAATTTTATAATTAGAAAAAATCTTGTATGTAAAACGTTACGAAATACCATTTTGTGTAACTCGTTCTTGTTGCGAGACCTCGCTCTGCTCATCCCGCAAATATTGTGGCATCCACAAGCATTAATTTAATTTTCTTTTCAATCTTTTTAACTCAAAAGATAGTTTTGAAAGAGTAAAACCAAATTTGGTAGATTTTCACACTTTTATTTTAAAAATAAATTTTTTTATTTTTTTTTAAACACTAACATGACATATGTTTCGAAGTACAACTTCTTTTTCAAATGTGACTATTTACAATTCGGTATCCAATATATATATACGAAATAATTTAACAAAACAAAGTACTTAAGAAAACATCAATAACATTACAAAATAAACTAACTATTTAAAGTAAATAAGGGTACTTAGGTAATTATAAAATAGATCAACACAAAACAGGATGATATAA